GCTGCCGCAATCTCTACTCGAGCTGTACGCGTCTTCGACGGTGTCGCGGAGTTCGATGAAGTTTTGTCCTGCTCTTGCTCTATCTATGGAACGCGCAGCGGGCCAAAGGGATCAGCGAAATATGACTCGAGGCATTTCTTGATCACTGTCAAGGATGTGGATCGTGGAGATTTGGAATTAGGGAAGAATTTGACCGATCTGACGAGATTGTTGCCGTTGAGTTTGGAGGAGTTGGATGAGGAGGAGAAGAGATTGGGGAAGTGGAGTACGAGTTTTAGGCTCTCGGGGAAGGCGAAGGGGGCTTCGTTGAATGTGAGCTTTGGGTTTGAGGTTGTTGATGGAGATGAGGGGACTGTGAATGAGAAGAAGGTGGCTAGAGTTGGGAGCTTAGTGAGGAGTAGAGATCGGACAAAGTCAGTGGAGGATGTCAAAGTGCTGCATGAGGTTCTGCCTTGCTCGAGGTCTGAAACTTCGACATTAGATGGGCTTCATCTGAAATTTGATTCTGCAAAGCCTGGGGATTTTAAAGTTGATAGAAAGGCAGGAATTGAGAAGGGTTTTGGTGGAATGAAGGATTTGAAAGGAGATGGAGAAGAGAAGGAATGTGAGGATCCTGAGTTCGCAGTCATCGAGCAGGGGGTGGAACTGGCAGAAAAGGATCAAATAGGAGAGCCAGAGTTGGAGAAGATTGAATTTAGAGCTGATGAGGGAGTAGAATTAGCAACAAAGAATCAACTTTGTGAGTCTGATGATGAATTGGAAAAGATCAATGATTCTGAAGGAGTTAGTGAGAGGAAGGTGAATTTGCAGTTAGAAGAGGTTTCTTATGATTCTACACATGTTTCTGAAGGCCCGTTGATTGAAGATTTAGACTCTGAATTGAGCAGTCAATTGGTTCCTGATGATGAACCTAAGACACCAGATCATATGAGGTATGCTGAGGTGAAATCGAGCTACAAATCTGGAGCCATGAAGAGTAAGTCTCTTAGCTTGGATGATGAGACTGTTGCTAGTGAGTTCATGAGTATGCTTGGTATAGATCATAGTCCATTTGGGTTGAGCTCTGATAGTGATCCCGAGTCACCAAGGGAGCGACTTTGGAAACAATTCCAGAAGGAATCGCTGTCCACTGGTAAAGGTATCTTTGACATTGATACTGAAGCAGAGAAGGAACACAATTGGGTTGATGGGGACTTTGGAGAGGATTTTGATCTATCATCAATTGTTCAAGAAGCTGAAATGGAACTTCACAGAACTAACTATGCTACTGATAGTAAGTCGAGGGCCAAAATGATGGAAGATGCTGAAACAGAGGCTTTGATGCGTGAATGGGGTCTCAATGAGGAAGCCTTTCATCGATCACCATCTGGTAGTAGAAGTGGATTTGGGAGCCCTATTGACTTGCCACCAGAGGACCCAATTGAGTTGCCTCCTCTTGGTGAAGGGTTGGGTCCTTTTGTTCAGACAAAGGATGGAGGGTTTCTTCGTTCGATGAACCCATCTCTCTTCAAGAATGCCAAGAACAATGGGAATCTAATCATGCAGGTTTCGAGCCCCGTTGTCGTCCCTGCTGAAATGGGTTCCGGCATTATGGAAATTCTGCAGCGTTTGGCTTCTGTGGGGATTGAGAAGCTATCGATGCAAGCTAAGAAGCTTATGCCACTTGAAGAAGTTACTGGTCAGACAATGCAACAGATAGTATGGGAGGCTGCTCCAGCTTTGGAGGCATGTGACAGGTTTGAGAGTCCTCTGATTCTATGTCATTTGTCTGTACATTGTTCGAATTTTACTGTCTCTACTCCTATTTGATGAGGCATTTTTGCCTGTTTGTTTTCACAGCCAGGGATTCTCACAACATCAGACAATGGAAGGAGAGCCAGCATTTAATCAAATTGCCTTGAAGCGCAAGAAAAGTAAATGTTCAAAAATTGCTTCATCAAGTGGTGGACAGATGAACTCAGAATATGTCTCATTAGAAGATCTTGCTCCGTTGGCAATGGATAAGATTGAAGCCTTATCAATTGAGGGACTAAGGATACAGTCAGGTATGTCTGATCAAGTGGCACCTTCAAACATTAGTCCCCAATCTATTGGGGATGTATCAGCTTTTGAAGGCAAAGGGGCCGTTAATAGTGTGTCTCTTGGACTCGAAGGCACTGGTGGATTGCAGCTTTTGGATGTTAAAGATAATGGGGATGATATCGATGGTTTAATGGGTTTATCAATAACTCTAGATGAGTGGATGCGGCTAGATTCTGGAGTAGTTGGCGAGGAAGATATCAGTGATCGGACAACAAAGATTCTTGCTGCTCATCATGCTCGGCCTACTGAGATGATTATTGGAGATAAAAAAGGAGGCAAGAGGTCAGGAAGAAAGTGGGGTTTGCTCGGCAATACTTTTACAGTTGCTCTTATGGTGCAGCTTCGAGACCCTTTGCGTGACTATGAACCAGTTGGAGCCCCAATGCTTTCGTTAATACAAGTGGAGCGGGTATTTGTTCCTCCGAAGCCCAAGATATACAGCGCGGTTTCAGAGAAAGGAAATAGTGAAGAACAGGATGATGAGCCTGAGAAGAAAACTGAACCAGTTGCACATGAGGAAAGGAAAGAAGAAGAGGATGTTGTTCCTCAATTTCAAATTACAGAGGTGCATGTTGCAGGTATTAAAACTGAGCCTAGTAAGAAAAAGGTTTGGGGTAATTCTAACCAGCAGCAATCCGGTTCAAGGTGGCTGCTTGCTAGTGGTATGGGGAAAAGCAATAAGCATCCGTTTATGAAGTCAAAGGCTGTTTCAAAACCTTCTCCAATGACTACAACTGTGCAACCAGGAGATACCCTTTGGAGCATTTCGTCACGCGTTCATGGCAATGGAAACAAGTGGAAGGAGTTGTTAGATCTTAATCCTCATATTCGCAATCCTAATGTCATTTTCCCAAATGAAAAAATAAGGTTGCGATGAAAACAGTACACATACTCAGAGAGTTATACATACACCACCATATGTGAAAAGGGACTGGATTGTTTTTAGATAAAACGCCGCCAAGGTTGCTATTGCAACCTTTTGAGGCTGGATACCTGGTAGGATTGAATTTATCCTATGAATGTGTGTTGATGTAAATTAGCAGTGGTTCTTTCTGTTGTATCTAGAAGAAATACATCCAAGATCAGAGGAATAAACTTTACTGGTATTTGGTTTGCTTCTATTTGCAAGGAAAACAAGTATCTTTCTGCATTTTAGATATTGTCAATGGTTGAGGTCCATTCGAGCACTGATGCTGTAAATCTTTGCCAGTCTAAATGTGTGCACTTTCTGATCAGCTTCAGTCTCTTCATTTTTCTGGTGTATTTCTTAGGTATGTTCTTTCCTGTTGGCTGTTGCAGTAGAGGCTTTTACTTTTCTTTCCTCCTATGAAGTGTTCATATTATCTTGTGAATGTTGCATTATTTTAGCTTGTAGATGCGTATGAGTTCACCATTTAATTTTCAGTAGAGGTGGAAGCAAATTGAAGACCATGCTGTTTGTGTTTGTATTTGTTTAAAATATTTGAAGTCTAATACGAATTCGAATATGATTCTCTAAATTTCTTCGAAAACAATCACAAATACTTTTTGAATATTCATGAATTTTTTATCGAATATTACAATGTATTCATTTGATTAACATTTTGTACTTTATGAATATTAAACTATGTAATCAAAAAGATAGTTTTATTTGGTGAGAGAAATTTGGCTTGAAAGTTGACTCAAGGCTCTTTAAGTTTGTCAAAACTTAGCATACAACTTAAATTACTAGATGTAAATGGCTTAAAAACATAACGTTGTGTATGTAATAATACAAATTATAAGAGATGAAACTCCAAGCGAATATTTGATAATCAGTCGAAGCAAATACTCATCTGGTTAGATTCTAAATATATATGAACTGAAAATTAAAAACTATTTATTTACTGTTAAATGAAGTAGATGTAAATAGCCTAAAAACATAACGTCGTGTATGTAATAATACAAATTACGAGAGATGAAACTCCAAGCGAATATTTGATAATCAGTCAATGCAAATATACATCAGGTTAGATTCTAAATATATATGAGCTGAATACTAAAAACTATTTGTTTACTATTAAACGAACCATTGAATCGAATAAAATCAAATAGTTAGACGGACAATTGATGAAGTATTTGTTAATTATCTGGTTCATTTCAACCCCTAATTTTCAGGTCTGCATGTATTATGCTTTTTTCTATTTCTTGGAAGGTATAATTTTATATACGGCATATCCAAATTTCATGAGTGCCAATTAGTTTGGCATGCCTTAGCAGCCTTACAACGAGCACATGTATATTATGCATTCATTCCGTGCATCATTGTTTTTTAGGATAAAATTCCATTTCCAGTTAAAAGTCAAAATATGTATCATATCAAAGTATATATTGAATGCCTCTCACAGAAACTAACAACACAGACAAACAAATAACAAAAAGTCCAGCTATTGGGTAATTATGGAATATATCTATAAAACTTGAACAGCACACCTACACCATCAGATACGGATCAGGTAAAATGTATTATCATCACGAAAAAATAACTTACAAACAGAATGTATTGGTTTCTGCGGTATCAACTTTCTTGATGCTTGCCCTTGTATGTTTTTAGTGGTAAACGTAATTGCTAATATAACAGTGTCCCTGATACAGTCATCGACTTATGAGAACAGAACCTATATCTATGGATCTCACGCTTATTTGTCCAATAATGAAACATAGATAACATTATCATATTCAAGGTGCCGAGGTTGACCTACTTTCGCATATCTATCTCATAAAGTGTCAAAGATTACAACCGACCTCTTACGGATGACTTGGTAAGTTGTTCTTGCTTGCTAACATTTTCCAAAGTGCCCTCAGAAAGGATTTTCACATACAGAAGCCAAGGAATAGGAACGTGCATCAGGTGTTTCTTCGTGATTTTGTTGCAGAGGGGACATCATGGCTGTGGATGCCCTCGTAAGTTGTTATCACATAGCTTGCGTCTTCTAATTGTCTTTCTACTCTCTTCTTTACTTGGCATCCCTCGGTGGAGCATCGATAGTAATTCCTGCCATCCGTTTCCGGTTAGATAAGCCCGTGTTACTTTTTACAAACCGGATCGATGTAATTTCTGTGACAATGATATAACATCTTGTGCATTGTAAGTAGGTATTTCACTTGTCATTGATTTAAAAGGCTAAACAGCATTTATGTACCCTGTTGTTTCATCTACTTTTCACTTATATACCCACACTTTATTTGGTAGCAAGGAAATACCCTAAAGTTTTTTAACTTGCACTTATATACCCTCGCTTGTTTTTGGTAGTACTTATATACCCTAAACTTATTAAAACTTGCATTTAAACATCCTAAAGTTTTTAAATCTGACACTTAAATACCTTTAAGTTTTTAAAATCCGCACTTAGATACCCTCGAGTTTGCATAACTGAGAGAGGGTATTTACTTGCAAGCTTTAAAACTTAAGGTATTGCTAGTTGTAAAAACAATAGGGTGTTTAAGTGCCGCTAAAAAAAGTGAGGGCATATAAGTGCAGGTTTAAAAAACTTTAGGGTGTTTTTTTTGCTACAAAATACAAGTTGGGGTATATAAGTGAAAAATAGTTGAAACAATAGGGTATGCGATTGCTATTTAGCCAATTTAAAACTATATCAATATATATTATCTGTGAAACTGATATAATAGATTGTGCATTGTAAGTTGATATTTCTCGTCACTGACCGAAAAAACTTGTCTATTGAAATCCTAGATACACCAGCAAGAACTCAGGAGGTACCTAAGAAAAATGAATGTGTATTCAGTAGAATTTATCTTATGTTTCTAGGAGTTGGGATTTATTTATTTATTTATTTTTATTTTTTATCTTTTGAGAATATATAAGGCGCTTTTAAATGTAAATGTAAGTTATTACTTCTAAACTTATGTAGACATATTACATACATTATCAGTAATGAATTGCTATAAAAGCTACTACTTGAGATTTTTAAACATACAAAAGATTAAGGAATAACCTTGGGTTTGGGCTATTTTTCACCTTTTTCTTCCCGTACTTCCTCCACTTGTATCCATCATCCAATATCTCAAGCTCCGATTTTGTTTTGAAGGCAACCTTAATGCTGCTTTTCTTGGAAGCACTCTTCGCCAACTTCCTACCTCTGCAAATTAGCATAAGCAGAAGACATAGATCACAGATGACAGGCAAGGAAGCATAATAACTCTAATTCATTAAAGGGAGAAGCTTACACTTTCTTGCTACAAGAACCTATATTTTTCTCGTTAACTTGATCACCATCTTCTTGCAGGAGAAAATGGTTCTGCAGATGTTCAGAAGTTGGCGATAAGCACTGTTCTTGAAGCTCAATAGCAGAAAAATTCAGGTAATCAGAGAGCTCAAATAGCATTTCAGCCGACTTATTATTCTCTAAAGAGTTTGATGATTGTGACGAAGCGTAAGGGAACATTGCAAATGGCAAGGGATCCTTCTAAATTTTGAAGGGAGGGTTCACCAAGCTTTAAAGAGGAGACCTCGACTTCAATGGCGATGCCCGGTTTCATGATAAGGAGGAGCCGTAGGAGGGAAGACCGTAGACTTGACTTGATCTCTTGTATGACTTGTAGGCTCTTGTTTTTATGCTTGTATCTTTTTCTCTGAACCATGAGAATGAGAAATGGCCAACAATTTGAAGATAGAACTTTAGGAAGGAGTCAGCAGGTCAACTCCATAGTCAAGATTATAGAAAACTTTTGTGTACAGTGTTTGGGAAAGAGAAACGACCAACGATTTGAAGATAGAACTTTATTTTGTACTCTTGATTCTCTCCTCTTGCTTTATAATTGTTGAAATTGAAACATGTTGAGCTGTTCTCTTGTGCTCATGTGTATCAATATAGATATCTGAAATCTATGTCATAGAGTTGGAAAGTTGGCAGTAATCTCCATTTATCTACTCCTTCGTACTTAAAAAGGAGGATCTAAAGAATTGTTGTTCATACTACAGGAAATTACTGTATCTTAACTAGTACCTCAAATCTGCTTATGCTACTAGTAATTTACTGTATTATAAATAGTGAATCAAATATGCTTCTCTACTCGAAGTTACTATTCATGCTATAATTTTACTATATCATAAATCGTAAAAACAAATAAAATTTATTAAAACTTGGGTCATCCTTTAAATATAGAGGAATAGATATGATTTCTAAATCAAATGTACTAAAACTTGGATCATTCTTTAAGTATAGAAGAGTAGATATGATTTCTAATTTTAAGCATACAATAATTAAATCAAATGTAATAAAGCTTTGAGAGAGGCAAGTTCAAAATGCGGTGCTTAAAAAATACAGAGGGGCGTGTTTTGCACTGGGTGCACACCAGTACACAAGAAACCCCAATATTGGATGTGAGAAGTAAATTCTGCCTTCTGCAGAATAAGGATCATTTTTGTCAATATTACACTAATGTAGATTTTAGTTGGTTGGGGATGAGCCACGGGTTTGCATTATTGACACTTGTTCTTTTGTTTTCAGGAGTCTTTTAAGTCAAGTCCCGGTTATGGATCTTTCTTCAGGTCCTTATCTCACCTTTGCTTTCATGACCTACCCACTTTAAGATCATCTTGCACGCAAATAAGCCAAGGTATTAATAACTGATGACTTGTTTTACTGCTTCACACCCAGGAAACAAGGCAAATCTTTTTGCACGCCAGTTCCTAAACAAAAGTTTTAAAAAAAAATCACATAAATGAAAGATGAAAATTTCCCTCCAGATTATGATTTATTAATAAATTTTCGGAATATCTTTCTCCGATTACTAAATAGAAGAGCTCTTAAATAATATCCTGATAAGACGCAGAAGTTGGTAGAATTTAACTACCACTTGTTGCAGTCATCAGCGATGTCGAATGTTTTTGTTCGGTGATGAGAACTTGGGATCCTGGGGGCACAAATTTTTGGTTGGTCATAAATCTTGTTATAATTTTTGTTTTCCATATGCATGATATTTTTCTGCATCAGATAGCTAAAGAAGAGACAGTCAACAATTCATGATTTGATCCCCAGCAAGTAAAAAGGGCAAAATGCACAAAGAGAAAATTCCATCCTAAAGCATTTAAGACTACACCATCACATTCTTGCAATAGAAAATTCAACTGTCAATTTGAATGCTCAGCCTGTTTCATTTCCATCAAATAATGTTACAAATGTCTGATAATCAATCTAAGCCCGATTGCTCCGGGGTTTCCATTCCAGCTGTTCTATGAGTCTTACCACTTCATGACTACTAGTGGCTCTCAAATGTCGACTTTTCCCCCTTAAGAACAAAGAAAAACTTTGATTAGATGAGCTTACACCATGACCCAGCATGCCAAAGAAGCAAGTTTTCACCTACTAAATTGCATTTTCGGCTTTGATAAAATTAGCAAGTATACAACCTTCTCAGTGAGATTCTGCTCCATGGCTAAGATGGAGAATGATGATCAACATTGGCCTGACTCTAAATATGGATGGTATCTACTATGATTTGAAAATTTAAAAGTAATATTGCTTATGGTCTAAAAAGTATATATTAAAGGAGACAAAAGAAACTATAAAGTACGCTTTTTACAGACCCGAATTGAAATGAATTCATTTTTTCATGGAATAAAGAAAAGTTCAGATATTTGTGGTCTTTCATGTCGTTGCCTAAAGACAAAAAAGAGACAAATGTTGTACAAAGGATAGATTCATGATCAACTGCCATTTGTTCCACAGTTTTGTTGATTGTAGTTTCACATTACGAGTTCTTAATAGATGAATTATGATGTGTTGTTGAATTCTGTAAGTTCATAATTCCTTCTTACCTGTGTCCTAATATATTGCAAGTGTTGCGTGATGTTGTAATAAAGATACGAGCATGATATATAAACAATTTATTTGACAAGATACCGTTGTTTTTGAGGAACGGTTGTATCCTTGTGTCCATATTGACTCCACATCTGTACTTCATACATCTAATATTTTCCGTGTCTACTAAGGCAAATAGGAATATGAGTGCACCAAGATAATTGCTCATGTACCAATGGGCTACTGTGTGTATAAGATATCGTTTGAGTATCTAGAACCAATGTGAGTACTGCAGTAGTCATACAAACATGTGGATTGAACAACCCCATAAAGATGTAACTTATTAAATCAAGGTGTAGCTGAAGCAGTCATAATCTGGTTAGTCCTCTTAACCACTGAAAACTATAGGAAAAAAAAAAGTAATGACAAGCACTGAGAAAATATCTGGGTTGTCAGTGAAATGGTGATACTGCTAGTGGTTATAGAACTTAGAGACCATTGTGTTGATTGCTGCACTCTATTTAAAAATGTCCACAACTTAAAGCCTTTGAAATGTCGGGCTTAAAGCCTAAGACACAATCATACTGTCATACAACATATAAGAATGATCCTATTGTTCTAAATTAAATTGACAACTTGATCCAATTGTTCAGCATCTATCTGTGAAATAATGTCTAGAAAATAAAACCTCTTATGTATGATTATTGTCGAAAATCTCCATCAGTATCCACAGAACTGAAACCATCACTGGTATTAGTATATCCAGATGCTTCTGCTCCCAGTAAGATACTTCTCAAATGTTTGTCTTCTAGATGTTGCTGCGTAGGTAATGGAGGAATATAAGCAGAAAGGTAAAGACAGTTAAAAAGTAAGCCAATATCAAAAGAATATTGATAGTGAAATTACACATCACGTCTTTGAAAGGTGATAATCAACATAAGATATCTCTAAATAAATTATACATATTCTTCGACAAAATCAACGAAAATATTGATGGAAGGTTGAATAATTCAAATATTTTAATGTTCCAGACCCACTATCTCCAATAGTGGTTAGGACATTTAATGAAATCATAAATCCAGCTAAGAGAAGGCCTACTTGATCAGGAAAGAGCCAGAAAGCATTCCCAAGTATAGGCACGCTGGATTTATTATTTTACTTATAACTGATCAATTTGAAATTTCAACACTACCTGGATATCTGTGGTGCAGCAACAAGAATCACACAACCTAGCTATCTTTGATTATTAGGTTTCTCCTGGTGAACATACAAGTAATATAAAGAAGCGATTTCCCTTTACCTCTTAAGGGTTTGTTGATTTTGACTGAACTTCATGCTGAAGCATGAGAGATAATCAAAATAAACATGATCATGATGGTAGAATGCTTAATTTGATGCTTTTTAATGAAATTATGTTCCGCTCATGTTTCCATGGAATTCTGTCAACCATCACTGACGCCAATTGCAAGACAGCACTATCACAGATAATGAGAAAACAAAGAACCGAGATGGTAGAAGGATATGCAGCATCCTAACAAAAAGATGAGTCTCTTACGTATTGGAATTCTCTTTGAGAGTAACCTCCCCCTTCGAACTATGTGCCCAAGCCATTTCGTTTGCTTAGTTGAGACAACCCCAAAGGTCAAAATTACGACATCAGATAAATACTAGAGAGAAGTGATGTAAAATAAGCTTCCATAAATTCAAAAATCATGCTGGTATTTTGAGGGAATAACCATGATGGTTAAAGACTTTCTTTGCACATGCGTGCACACACAGAGGTTGATCTACATGGTGTGCAAACTAGAGTAAGACACCACCAAGGGAAATTAAATTGTAAAATTTTCAAGGTAAATTACAAACACAAAGTTATACGGGGCCACCACTAGGACAAAATCCTGGATCTGCCACTGAAGATACCCAAACATAGCTAAAGAGCAGAATATGTAGAATCAACATTTTGCCATAATATAACAAATATGACCCCTTTCTTGATGGTTAACTAGTGTACAAATAGCACCACCTTTGTGCAGAACCATTTAAAGCATGTAGAAAGTGATAATAGTGTATATCATCCATAGATTGCCCATCATCTGATTTTTGGCTGGCTTTCTTAGAAAAATTAAATAAAACTTCATGGGATTATCTTATTACACTTCTCACACATATAAACACAAGCGCATTTATTGGTGATTATAGCATATAAAACCTAGCAGCCATACGTTATGAAATTATTATCCAATGCAACCAAAGATGTCGAATATTAGAAGCTTAGGTCCTCTTTAGCTAACTTTGGATGTAAATAGGTTTCTCCCTAGCCGGTGAGCAATCAACGAAAAACCATGCTCACTCTCACAAGTACATGCTCTTTTTCGAGAAAATGTTTCAAACTTGAACATAAACATAACGGCTTTTTCTTTTTCTTTTTCTTTTCCTTTTCCCCCTTTTTAAAGGCTTCCATCCATAACCTCTAGCTCTAACTAAAATAGCACCCCTCTAGCTAATAAGTTAGCATTCTCCTTTAGAAAACCATCAATGTTTCTATATTGTTTCGATCTTCTTACTTTATCTCTGATCTCTAAGATAGACTTCCTAGATGCTAATATCTGTACAAATCTTGACCAAGCAAAAACTGTCTTCTTACATTTAACATTTCATACATGAGAATGTGATTCCCTCTGCCTCTTTTCACTAATTGTACCTCAGAGATGAATGCAATTCCTTATATCAATCTTATACATAGTACTACAGCTAGAAAATTATCTTTTTTGGGTCACCAAGTTCTCATATTTACAACTCAGTAGTGATCTCTAGAAGCTAAAGATAATACCCAGATAGAAAATTATCTTTTTTGGGTCACCAAGTTCTCAAATTTACAACTCAGTAGTGATCTTTAGAAGCTGAAGATGATACCCACTAAGTAATTGATGACTAAGGGAAAAAACAATGAAATAAATCACAGTAAATAATGAAGTATTACAGCAAGGCAAGCTCTGTACTTATCCCACTCGGCAACGCACTCCTCTTTGTCCCATTGCCCCTTCAAGAATTTATCTGAATACCACCTATTAAATTTCTCAAGAACAAAAAAATAAGTTAATAAATAAGAATTAAAAGAGATTGTTCCCTTGGTTACTTGGTTAATTACAGAGAGAGAGAGAGAGAGCGCTACCGATTGAAGCAATCGTGATATGCAGCCCTGAGCTGAGCGCAGGCGGACGCTGATACAGTCTTGCTACCGCTGCTCAGACCCATGCGGTTATTCTTTTTTCTTTTCTTTTCTTTTTTCTTTTTCTTTTTTTTTTTGAAGAAATTCACAAAAAAAGCCCCCAAAGTATCTCTCTCTCTCTCTCGCTCGCTCGCGTGAATTGAGAAATGATTGAGACTAGTAGCGTGTACGGGGAAGTTGATGACGGGTCGGGTTTGTGACTGATAAATCCGACTCGGACTTTCTAAGATCCCGAGATTTGAGGTATAAAATTATGGATGTTTTCATATTGGATATTTGATATCATAATATTTACAAATTAATGTCTCAAAATTAGCACTTCAATATAATGTTTGTCGGGTAAGGCCCAGCCCGATGTTGGTCGGGCAGGGTTACAACCCAAACTAGGTTAGATCGGTTCAACCTGTGGTTCAAACCGGCCCATGCTCTATCCTATACTCATCCATAACAGCAAAATGGGGAGTTCAATTCCTATAAAAAAAGGTTTTTTATCCCTACATTCACAAGAATAATTGATTTCATTATTCAAGAGTAAAAAGGAGAGAGTAAAAGTCAAATGTGAACGTTTTGAAGTTCTATAAATCCTATAAGCCTACTTTTTTATGGGATTTTTTTTAACACTCGTTGGTATTTGTTAAGAGGTGAGAGAGATAGAGAGATGAGAGGTAAGGAGTGACATCTTTTAACTCTATTCTTGAATACCTAAAAGAACCATGTTTTGAAAAATATTAAGTATTGTTCCAAAATGCCAAAATCCTTAAAATGATGCAATGCACATATATAAAGATTAATATTGGAAAGCAACTAGGAAGAGTGTTTCATTTTGTTAACTTAAAAAATTTATGTATATTGTTTAACTATATGTAGGATTCATTGAGAATTAATCTGCTTGGAGAACAAAAGTTGGATTTATTAAGATGAACAGATTTCTTCTTATTAGTTATTTTAACTATTTAATAGAAAATGTATAAATTATAGGAAAAATTGCGTCAAGGCCCCAATTTTAAGAACCCTATATGACATGTTCCTTAACATTTTTTCCAATGTGTTTCAACCCAAAACCCAAAAAAAAAAATGTGATTCAGCATTTATTCCCTGCCAACTAAGCATAGAAAGAGAAATAAAAATAAAAAAACCCAAATTGTCCTTTTCTCCTCCTCCCCCCCAACGTTGTTGGAGGTTGGATGGATTAAGCCTACACGATCATATCAAGAGGAGGTTGGCGGAATTGTGGAATGAAGCATCGTACAATTCAAGTTAAAGATCAAGTTCAAGCTTCATCCGTAACGTGTACCAAGTCAAGCTTAATTGAAGATCAAGATTGCTTGGGTAATTTAGTTTAGGGTTTATATTATGTGTGTTTAATACGTTAAGCTCAATATCTATACACACACATTATATCGGTTTTCATATATATATATAAATGGGGAATTTATATACTGCCACTGCTTTCTTATAGACCATTTCACTCAATGATTTTGGAGAACAAATTCTTGTTCAATTCATAGGTTTTATAGATTCTAAAATCTAGTCGAACACTGGATCTTCTAAAGCACTTCAAGTTGCTTTAGCATCGTATGGTCTTATCATTTTATTTTTATTTCCTGAAGCATTATCAATACCAAAAAGAACTCAAAGAGGAATTTACTTCTCTTCAAAAAAAAAAAAAGAAAAAAAGAAAGAGGGATTTACTTTTATCCTTTGTTGTTTACAAATAAGGGAAAATTGTGTCAAGGCCCAATTTTAAGAACCCCATGTAACCAACCCTTTGAACGTTTTTTTCATGTGTTTTAGTCTCAAAAAAAACAGCCCTTACTCATTGCCAATTAAACATAGTGAGAGAAATAAAAACAAAAAAAATTCCTAATATGTCCTTATTTCCTCCTCTCTCTCTTCTCTCCAGATCCAATCTCCATAGCTCCTCCTTCCTCATCTCCCCTAACCAATCTCCTTCCTCCTCTCTCTCTCTTCCTCCTTTTTCTCTCAGACACCGACATCCCCCCCTCCGCCACCACCGATGTTGGGTGTATGCTCCGGTCATGTTGTCTGCTTCTTCGGTCTTGCTCTCCGCCACCACCAACCTCGAGCACACCCTCCTTCCTCCTATCTCTTCTCTCCAAATCTAATCTCCATGGCTCCTCCTTCCTCCTCTGCTCTCCTCTCTCCGAACTCATCTCCTTCTTCCTCTCTCCTTCTTCCTTTTTTTTCTCTTAGACATCGATATCCCTCTCCGCCACCACCGACTTTGGGTGCACGCTCCTACCATGTTGTCTCCTTCTTCGGCCTCGGCCTCTTCCACCTCCAAATCCGAGCGCACCCTCCTTCCTCCTCTCTCTTCTCTTCAGATCTAATCTTCATGGCTCCTCCTTCATCCTCTCCTCTCCTCTCCTCCTCTCTCCTAACTCATCTTCTTCCTCCTCTCTCCCTCTTTGTCCCTTTTCTCTCAGACACCGACATCCCCCTCCGTCACCACCGACTTTGGGTACACGCTCTGGCCATGTTGTCTTCTTTTTTGGCCTCGCCCGCCACCTTGGCTGCAAGTTTCACAAAACCTATAAGCTATTGGTTTTTTAAAAGAAATTTGTAATTTCTATTTGTACATAGTGAAAAGATGAAAATATAAAGAAATACTGGCTAAATGTGATTTTTGTTTGACAATTCTTGATGTTAAGTTAAGTACAAGGCGGATGTTAAGTCTAATGGGTTGGAAATAAAGTTCAAGTGCTTGTATGTTAAGTCTATTGGGTTGAATAATAAGTCCAAGAGCTTATATGTTACATCTTTTAGGTCAAATAATAAGTCTAAAGGTGGAACTTTAAGTGTAATGGATTATATATTAAGTCTAATTTATTGAATGTTAAGTATAATTTATTACATGTTAAGCCTAATGTGTTGTATGTCAAGTCTAATCGGTGTGTTGTTAATTCTAATTGATTGAATGTTAAGTCTATAGAGTTGGAAGTGAAGTTCAATGGCTTATATGCTATGTCTATTGGGTTGAATAATAAATATAAATGTATAATGTTAAGTGTAATGGGTTATATGCTAAGTTTTATTTGTTAAATATTAAGTATAATTTGTTACATGTTAAGTCTAATGCGTTATACGTTAAGTCTAGTTAGTGTGATGTTAATTCTAATTGGTTCAATATTAAGTCTATAGAGTTGAATATTAAGTCTAATCAGTTAAATGTTAAACCTAATTGAAAGATATTTTTTATCTAATGAAAAACATGTTATTTATAATGAAAATAATATTAAGTCTAAACTGTCTCATGTTAATTCTAATGAGAGGAATGTCAAGTCTAATTCGTTGAATGTTAATTCTAATTAGATGAATGTCAGGTCTAATAAGGGCATTTTTAAGTCTAATCGGAAGATTGTCAAGTCTAATCTATTGAATGTTAAGTCTCGTTTGTTAACTCGAATTGGTTCAATGTATTGGGTTGAATAATAAGTCTAAGGGCTTGTATATTAAGTCTATTGGGTTGAATAATAAGTCTGAAGGTGGAATGTTAAGTGTAATAGATTATATGTTAAGTCTAATTTGTTAAATGTTAAGTATAATTTGTTACATGTTAAGTCTAATGCATTGTGTGCTAAGTCTAATTGGCGTGATGTTAATTCTAATAAGGGCATTTTGAGTTTTTTTATTTTTTCTCTCTCTGTGCTTAGTTGGCAAGAAATAGACTTAGTATTCAACTCTATATAGTTAACATACAACCAATTAGACTTAGCATCACGCCAATTAGACTAAGCATACAACGCATTAGATTTAACATGTAACAAGTTACTTTTAATATTCAATAAATTAGACTTAATCCATTACACTTAACATTCCACATTTAGACTTATTATTCAACCTAATAGAGTTAACATACAAGCCATTGAACTTATTATTCAATGCAGTAGACTTAACATGTAAGGCATTGGACTTCACTTCCAACTCATTAGACTTAACATTCCACCTTGGACTTGAACTTAACATCAAAAATTATCAAATAAAAATCACATTCAGCTAGTATTTCTTTAAAAATTTTATCTTTTCATGATGTTCAAAAATAAATTATAAATTTATTTTAAAAAACTAAATTTTTATGGGTCTTGTGGAACTTGCACCTAAGGTGGTAGAGGGCGAGACCGAAGAAGGAGACAACATGCCTGGAGCGTGCACCCAAGGTTGGTGGTGGTGGAGGGGGATGTAAGTGTCTTAGAGAAAAAGGAGGAAGAGGTGGAGAGGAGGAAGGATATGTATTAGGAGAATGAGAAAAAAGTTGAAGGGGCTGGTTACATGGGGCTCTTAAAATTGAGGCCTTGACACAAGTTTCTCTAAATTATATTTGATATTGGATGGTGATGATGATGATAATAATAATAATAATAATAATAATGTTATTATTATTTTCTGTATTAGAGGTATTAGAGTAGACATGTTATATTTTGTTCGCTTATGTGAAAGAATGTTAATATAATTTGTTGTGATAGGTTTGTCTTTATCATGACAAATATTAGGCATTATATGCAAATTAGTGAAAAAATATTATCAAAGATATTAGAAAACCATCATTCATATGAGCTTTATTAAAGAGTTGTATATTTGAAGAAAATATTTAGGTTGCAATTAAATCGAAATATCCTACTTCAATGAAGGAGATACGAAAAAACTTATGAGATTGCTAAGCATATTAAGTTGGTTATCGTACAAATAGAAAAAGACAAAGTAAAATGAAAAAGGTTGTTTTTAAACGTTAAAAGTTTTAAGAAGTGCATATAGAATGATTTGATTTGTTTAAGATTATCGATAATATATATATATATATATATATCATACTCCCTTCAAAAGCACAAGTTTAGAAAAATATTTAATGGTCAATAATACCCTTCACTATTTTAAATATTTTATTTGTATCTTAATCTATCATAGTCATAATTATCTCCTATCATAATCGTATGTGAACTACCTATAGCTTAACAAATTTAAAAAATAACATCAATAAATTATATAAAATATCTTTATGGTATTAGTTTTTAAGATAAAAAATTATACATAGCTAACATATAATACATGAAGTATTGTAAAAAAAACCTAAAAAGTTTTAAAATTACACAAAATACCCTAAAAATTCAAAATTATAAAAACCACCATGATGTCTCAAAACTTAAAATAACAAACAAAGAAACACCATTAAAATTAAAATTAGAAACAAACACCTTGAAATTTAAAGTTCATGGCTTACAAATAACATAGATGAATTTAAGGGATTATCATGATGCACTTGAAAATTTCTGACATTTTAAAACTTGAAATAATAAACGTAAAATTAAGAAGTTAACAGCCTATAAAAAATTTTAAAATTTTAATTAACACACTCAATGTCTAAAAATTATAGAAACACCCTCAAAAGTTCAAATTATAAAAAACCATCCTAAAATTCTAAACTTTTAAAATTTACAAACAACAAAAGACGAATTCAAAAGATTACCCTCAGGCACCTTAATTTGTCGAAATTAACGTTAAATTAAGTTACAAAAATTATATAATAAACTCCATGAAAATTAAAAAATATCAAAAAACTCTGAAAATTTAAAATTTATAACCAGTATACATTAGATCTCGAAACTATTGGTAGATCGCTGAAATTTAAATTTTTCTAAAATTAATCTATAGTTTTAATAATTACAAAAAACACCTTCAAAATTTTAGAGTTGTAAGAAATATCCTAAAATTTAAAAAATTACTAGCAACACGTAAAACATAAAAAGTTACAAGTACCAAACTTAAAAGTAAGTTTTTAACAGGGCCAGAGGCCCTGTTTTTCTTCAAAAAAAAAGTAAGTTTTTAAAAAACACTCCCAAAGTTTAAAAAATTACAAATCACGCCCTCAAAGTTCAAAACCATAAAAATGGCTAAAATTTTAAAACTTGGAAAAGAAAAGTGTAATTGTTTGGTATTCTTTCATTTATATATATAATTTTCAATTTAGGGTTTACTATCCCTTTTCAGCATTTAAAAATAATATATATTGATATTGGTAAGCAAAATCAATAAGAATCGATTAAAAACATCTGGTTAAGGAGTAAAAGTTTGAAAATGTTAATGTTTAAAAAAATTATCACCACCATATAAATTAAAGTAAATGCATATAAATTTACTAATAAGTTGAAGCAACAAAAATACATTAGTGACATTAATTGATAGATTTTTATATCCATAAAAAATGTTAAAAGACTATAATATAATAGCTTAGTATTAATTAATTATAATTTAAAAATATTAATTATGATGTTAATAATATTTATAGGGTAAAAGAATATAATGAATTACATGAGGAAACTATAAGAATATTCAGAGATACCCTTCAAAAGAATCAAGCTATTTCCATTGCAAAAGAGAAAGTGATGGAAATAAATCTAAAATTCAGATAACGTCCATGAATCACTTGAATTGGCATCAACATAAGACATTACTATTAAAGAAGCACTCACTGAGTTACATTAAAAAATAATTTAATAACTTTTATCCCAATCAAAGAAGAATTCTCTATGGAAGATATAAGAAAAATTTAGTAAGTATTCATAAATTTTATACTTTGTTCTTCAAATACTAAAGAAATTAAATATTAATATTATAACCTAAGGCAAATTAGTAATAAAAAATACAGGTATTTAGTTTAGATATTTGTGGAAAATATGAGGGATACAATAAAAGGTAATATTATTGACATAACAGAAACTCTTATTGGATGTACATCAGAAGAATTCATTACAGAAAAAGATGTAGCTTCTAATCTTATTTAAGTAATAAATTAGGAACACAAAGAATTTCATATATATGAAATTAACATTTATCTCATTGAAATAGAAAAAATTAAAGTTTATATTTTAAACAGATTGTGTTGAAAAACAGAAATACATTTGACTTCTTTGTGAAATTAAACGAGAAGATAAAAGATTAACGAGCTCGGGAAAGATAACAGCACAAAAAATACAACTCCAGCATAATGTCACAATCGATGTAGATGATGAAGACACTAATCTAGAATTGCCCGGGAAAAAGATAAATATGAAGAATAATTGATTTTAGCTTAATAAAAAAAATAAAACAGAAAGAATAAAAAGACAATTTTTTTATAATATTTAATAGAATTGTTTAATTATTTTGAGTTAAATTAGAAATCTTTAGAAGAGAGTTTCATGAATTTTCCAGTACTTTTATATTCTTATGTGGATGTTTTTATCATATAAAAGTATAATAGAGTTAACATTAATCTTTAGTTTATAATTTTTTATAAAGCCCATCAAGGAGCAAACTTCATATTATCTTTTGTATCGTTTTAACATATTTTTAATCAATCATTTTGTCTTAGTTTTAAATACACACACAAACACACACACTCTCTCTCCAAACAACTTATAGTAGTGCTTTGTATAGTTTGTCCCAAGTTGACTTGTAGGTGATTGATGCACATTTTCATATTAGTAGGCTTTAATTTTCGAAGTCTTATTGTTGACGAGTTGAGGGAATTATGCAAAACATGATATATATGGACATTTTATGATATGAAGGTAATTGGTGTTCCTTTTCCTTTCATTCATCTTTAAACTATTTATGATTTTTATATAACATTATCGTTGACGATAGTTATATACCATGTAAAATTTCTTTGATTCAATATTTAATGTTTTATTGATCGGTCTTTTAATTAAGAGTAGGTTTAATCTGTTAAACTTTTCTTATCTGCTAACCAGAAGTTGACTACTGATAAATTGTGACCTCACCCCATTATTTTCCATTCTTGCATAAATATGAAGATCTGGGTATAATTTGGAAATATGAACATGTTAGGTGTTCAGATACAAAATTAACACAGATTTGGTGCTCTAAGAGCAGCTCCAATCGTTCTGGAAAACTGCAAAGTGCAGCCAAACCAAATTCCAACCGGACGGCAATTTTTAGAGTTGAGCTGCAAAAATTGATTTGAGGCTGCAAATTTGGAGATTTCTCTCCAAATTTGCAGCCAACTCTATATTACTATTCGTTTTTGCTTTCTATGTAATAGTCGTGGATTTAGTAATATGAATGTCTGTTTAATTTAATCAGATTGCCTATTTTATATTAATACATATATTAATACATTTAATAATATTATTTATATTATATAACTTTTATTTTTTTATTTTTTAAATATTCAAAATGAGAGTAATATTAAATAATATTAATTGAAATATAAAATTCCAAGAACCAAGTAATTAAAAATAAAAATATATTATAATTTAAAGACAATTATCTATTTCTTATTATCAATTCATTAAAGAAAATTAATTTTATTTAAATATATGATTACATTATATATTTTTAAAATAAGTAAAAGAATTAAAAAATTGAGAGAAATTGAAATGGAGTTGGAAATAGAGGAGTGTGGTTGGAGTTACATAACTCTATTTTAGCATATTCTAAGGAATATGCCAAAGTTTGGGCTCCAAAATAGAGCCTCACATTGGAGAAGCTCTAAACTGAAAAAAAGCTCTAGAAGCTAAATATGTAATCAGAAAATTTCGCTGCAAGAACTTTGATACTCCTTTGACCCTCCCTCTCTGATAATTAATAATAAAAAATAATAAAATAAAATAAAATCGGCAGCAAAATGGGAGAAGAGCAGAGCATAGATCAGTTCAAAGGCCAATCTCGCCTCCCCAAATTCGCCACCCCAAGGCGCTACGATCTCAAGCTCAAGCCCGACCTCTCCACCTGCAAGTTCACCGGAACCCTAGACATCACGGTCGATGTCGTCGCCGACACTAGATTCCTCGTCCTCAATGCCGCCGATCTCACCGTCGACAACGATTCTATCTGTTTTAGAGTTCCAGAATCGTCCAAGGTATCAAAATCTAGCCTCATTTTGCTCATCATGAGAAAAAGTTTGATTCTTATCTTGATTTCAGGAGCTTTCCCCTTCGGAGGTTGTTTTGGTGGAAGAGGACGAGATCTTGGTGTTAGGGTTTGATGATCGGCTTCCGATTGGGGACGGTGTTTTGGGAATTTCGTTTGCTGGAACCCTAAATGATCAGATGAGAGGGTTTTATAGAAGGTAAAGATGACATCTTTGCACCGTGATTACTTATTTTTATGGATTTTTATTGTATGTGGTTTTTATGCAGTACGTATGAGTACAATGGAGAGAAGAAGAACATGGCGGTCACTCAGTTTGAGTCTGTCGATGCCAGGCGATGTTTTCCTTGCTGGGACGAGCCTGCATTTAAGGTATATCGATTCTTGCTCATGTCAATGGTTGCTTATGCATTATTAGAAGTAGTCTGTGTTCATGAAGATGCTCGTTTGTATTTCTTACATTTGACAAATCCAATTCAAAAATTTCATGTTTGCTACATCCATTGTGCTCGTATATTTTTTGTTACTTCCGTGCACTTTCTAGATAAGCAGGAGTTCTCTTTTTTGGCAGAAAGAGAAGGAAGAAATTTTTTTTTTGAAACTCCTGATCTACGTTCGATTTAATTAGGAATTTGTTAGAAACTTAGAACATATAAATACACTTCCATGCAAATTCCAGCTGGTAGAAAATTACCGCTGCAATACTTGTTCCAAAATCCATAATTGCAGAGTGTCCTCTCAAGGCTGGAGTCACTATTGTGATACCATCATAGATTTTAAAGTCAGCACAGACTGAAAAAAAAGCACATAGTTGGAAATATCTGTATAAACTCAGCTTGTCCAGTTTGACCCCTCTTTCTCATTGGCTTGGGATTGAAAGAATTGAAATGCTTGTTTGAAAAGTTTGTTGTAAACTTGTAATCTGAGCAGGTCACCTGTCTCAGATTCTTAATTACCACTATGCATTGTTTAATGGCCATGTATTTCTACTTCAGATTCATCTGTATTGAGTTGTGCATGGATTACGATCCAATACATGGATTGTGGCATCCTAGTTGTAGTTATGCTTGTATGGAAAAATGTGTTGTAATCTGAACAGGTTACCTGTCTCAGATTCTTAATTACCACTATGCATTGCTTAATGGCCATGTATTTCTACTTCAAATTCATCTGTATTGAGTTGTGCATGGATTACGATCCAATACATGGATTGTGGCATCTTAGTTGTAGTTATGCTTACAATGAAGAGTTGCTTCTGGAATGGATCTGAGCTCATTAAAAGTATTTTTTATTCTGCTAGTGATTTGAAAAGACGAATTTAATTTGATTTACTGATGCATTCACTCAGGCTAATTTCAAGATATCATTGGCTGTACCCACTGAGCTAGTAGCATTGTCAAATATGCCAGTTATTGAAGAAAAAGTTGATGGGCCTGTGAAGACTCTTTATTTCGAGGAGTCCCCAGTTATGTCAACCTATTTGGTTGCAATGGTTGTTGGTTTGTTCGATTATGTAGAGGCTATCTCACCAGATGGTATGGTTAATTTATATATCACCCAATCTGGGAGCTCCTCTCTTCTTCTTCCTACTTCTTAATCTCTAAAGCCATATTTCTGTGACATTTATTCAGGAGTCACTGTTCGTGTATATTGTCAAGTTGGTAAGAGCAATCAAGGGAAATTTGCTCTGGATGTCGCTGTGCGAACATTGGATCTGTACAAGAGGTACTTTTGTCCCATACGCTGATTTTATTTCCTTTTGTGTAGGTTGGAACTTGTAGTACACCAAAGCCTCTGCGTAAGTGTTTTGGGTTGCTTCTTTGTTTGGTAGTTTTTGTTTCTTTATTTGTGTTGGTAAAATATTTCAATCTGTTTATACTGCCATATCTTTTCAACATGATAAACTGTATAATAATTCTAAGGTCAAATTTCACCACGGTTGCTTTGAGTGATCAAGCATGTATCTTGCAACCATTGATGAGTTACTTCCTGTTGTCACCTAGATATTTTGATGTGCCTTATGTGCTCCCAAAATTGGATATGGTCGCAATTCCTGATTTTGCTGCTGGGGCTATGGAGAATTATGGCTTAGTTACATATAGGGAAACAGCTTTACTTTATGATGATCTCCATTCAGCAGCTTCGGGCAAACAATCGGTGAGCTGAACTGATCATTCTGTATGCACTTGATTTTAGTGTATATTAATCTTTCAATGGTTTTCATTGAGATATGAGATTAGTTTCATGGAATGTTTGTTCTTCCCTAATTTAGAGCTTTATTGTGTGGGCCCCTAATTCTAAGGTGTTTCATCATAACTGCTATTGGTGTTGGGTTTGACCAGTATTGATGGTTCTGGATTTGATCTTTAATGAGCACTAAATTGAGTTATCTGAATCCGTTTTTTCAGGTAGTTATTACTGTTGCTCATGAATTGGCACACCAATGGTTCGGGAACCTTGTCACGATGGAGTGGTGGACACATTTGTGGCTTAACGAGGGATTTGCCACATGGGTAATCATGATTATCCTCTTTGAATCATTTCCAACCATTTCAATATTATGTGCCAGGGAGCTAATACACATCTTATGAACTGCTACTCTTACAGATGAGCTATTTAGCAGCAGATTCTTTATTTCCCGAATGGAATATTTGGATTCAATTTCTTGATGACAATATTTCAGGTTTTAACCTTGATGCACTTTCCGAATCACATCCTATAGAGGTATAGCTCTTTTGTTGTCTCTATCTGGCTACCACCTCCATGTTCCTTTAGGCCCTGATGGGTTTAAAACCATTTAGCTACACATGTTTGAAAATTGAAACACATCACAATTTTCATTATAAACTCTCATATGACAAATTGATGTGTCATAGCAAATTCTTGAAATGCTTTTGCTGATACATTAATAATTGTCTAACCATATCACAATGGTGTTATAATAGCCTTACCTTAAATATAGCACCTGTGCTTTTTGTTGTCAAACCAGCAAATGCTTGGACCATATGTTAAACACTTACCTATTGGAATCCCAACATATATGAAGTTTTCCTTCGTGCAATCATTTTTGATACCCCATCAGATATTTTTCTATGATGTCCGATATTTTTCCATGATTTCTGATCTGTAACCTTGATGTCCATATTCACACGAGAGATGTAGAAGAAAATCAAGAAAAGCACGCTCATTATATAATTTAACGAGTTGCAATAAATTGTAACTAGTAACCCTGTCAGTATAATAGTGTTGCTTGGTAATTTTGGGTCAAATTTACAGTTAGAATTAATGTACTCTGCATTTGAATATTTGAAATTAAACAATTCATCTGTATTGAAGTATCATTGGGCCAGGTTTACTAATATTATGAAAGAATTATTTTAGTAATTTTGGTTTTTCATTAAACATATTAACTGCAGACACTTTATGCGACTATAAGCTTTCAGTTTTTTGGAGTAATTGCTTTTGAGCAATATTAAAACAATTGGAATCTGCATGGGAGGTAGACTGCTGGAAATGACCAACTTTTTATTGTAGAGATTCAAAATAAGTATGGGTGCATGACCGGGATATTAACTTTTTTTTTGGGGGGGTGTGGGGGGTGTGGGACAAGAAGTATTCTATTATGCATCCTACATTGTTCTGTCACCTTTAAGGCTTCATATGGCATTCACTCTTAACAGTATTATTGTCCTATTTTTGCTGATCGGGTGTTACCTCTGTTTCAGGTTGATATAAACCATGCCAGTGAGGTTGATGAAATTTTTGACTCGATAAGCTATGACAAAGGAGCCTCTGTTATTAGAATGCTGCAAAGTTACCTTGGTGCTTCATGTTTTCAGGTTGGAGATGGGTTGATTTTCTTTCCCACATTATGTAGCTAATAATCATTAGGTTATTTAATAAACCTCTTCGATGTATAGAGGGGAATCCTGTTCTTTCTAATGGATTTTGTTTAGTTAGTTTAGATACTAGCCAGTAAATAAAAAAGCGTGAGAAAAGAATGCCATAAGGCTTCCCTTAACAATATTTGGAAAATTTGGCTGAATTTGTCTTTGGTTGTCATCTTAAGCACTCATTCTCACTCCAGGCTGTCAGTAGAAAATTGTTTCTGTTCTTGAGCTTTCTTAATACTTCAGCTGTGCTTCTGTATAGTAAATGTCACATCCATACATTGTTATTTGTAGTGTGTTCTATCACATTGTTGTTTCCTTTAAAACCTAATGCTTTAATATTTCATTTTCTTTCTAGAAATCACTGGCTTCATATATAAAAAAATATGCTTATTCAAATGCTAAGACCGAAGATCTATGGGCTGTTCTTGAAGAGGAGTCTGGTGAACCTGTAAAGATGATAATGAATACATGGACAAAGCAAAAGGGCTATCCTGTTGTTTATGTGACAGTTAAAGATAATGCTTTGGAGTTTGTACAGGTTTGTCTATGATTTCTAGCTTTTCTGTTTCTCTGCTTAAAATGAGTGAATCTAAAATCTTATTGTATTATTTGTTGTATAGATTGGCTATATTGTACCTGTAATTATCACACCTGGAAGAAATATTTCTATTAACAGAGGAAAGGAAGGAAACAAGTACTTGTGGAGTTTGCATATAGATCGATGTTAATAAAGTGAGGCTAAGTTTGTCCTAAGATTTCATTACCAGTGACAGTTAGGCTACACCCACCAGTTATCAAGGCAATAAAAATGCATACTGTTGAGTGTCATTTAACATAATGGTGGCATGGCGATAAGCTATGATAGAATAATCGTTTTTCATAACTAAGAATTATCTTGAAGGCTTACAACAATGGACATCTATTGGACAATTGATGGCTGCATTTTTTTCACCTATAAAATATTATCTCCAGGGCATCCTATGCCTCTTGGGTGTGTTTTTTTTTTCTTTCCCAGTATCTCCTTATTTCAATTCCATGCCACCATTTAATACTTACAGAGGAGGAAAATCATGTGCTGTGCAATATACTCTGTTTTTCTTAGAAATAGTTTCTTCAAATGTTTATGGCAGTCCCCTTATTTTTGTTGTACAATATTTGTTCAAGCTTGTGGAATGCTTTCCGCAGAAAGCAGATTGAAGTGGTAAGGCACCGCTTAGGCTTTTTTTGGCTTTACCAGCAAAAAACGAAAAAATGGCAACGTAAAAACACAGTCCAATTTAAATATGTATTAATATTAAAAAAATCAAGAAAAATATAAATTTTTTACAAATGCATATTTGATGATTTATAGAGATCCTAAGTCTGAAATCAACATATTTAATACTATTAAGTTGTTAAAATTAACAGATTTTACTATTTAGTAGCTAAAATCACATGATACTCACTATCTCACATGATTCACGAACTTTAATTAGATCTGATGCAATGAACTAAAAATATTTTAGTAAAAAGAACATGGAATTAATAATTATACATGCTGGTTGACGCAAACTACGCCGAACGAAAAACATTGTCATTCGTGGAGAGGAACTTAGGAGATGTTGGAGGTGGCAGTGGAGGAGCTAAGGAGCTGGTGAAGGTGGTAGAGGACCTGAGGAGGTGGTGGAGACGACGAGAGAGGAGCTCGAGGTGTTGTGAGATGGTGGAGGCGGCAGAAGGGGAGTTGAGGAGGCGGCGGGCGACGGCTTAAGGCAAGGTCTTAAAAAATTGACACCTAGCTCACTTAGTTACCTGCCTAGGCTAGACTGTACCTAGGCTACTTGCCTAGAATTTGGGAGTGTACGGAAGTGTGGGCCGCTTACATGGAGCACCACTTAGGTATTTGCCGTGATTTTTTCCTTTGCAGCCTCCACTTTATCCAACCTCCTCCAGCCTCTTCCACTAATTATGAACAACTCCACCTCCGACTTTCAAAAACATTCTCCGTCACCGCTTAAAAAAGAAAGAAATCTGCTTAGGTGTCTGGTGCCTAGTGTTGTCTATACTATACCATTGTCATTCATTATCAATTATCATAACTAAAAGATAAAAAATAGGAAAACCATCTAGATCCCGCCTAGGCTCTAATGCTCTAATGCCGGGTACAATGCCTAGGCCACCTAGCGCTTTCTGGAACATTGACTTGAGGCGATGAGAGAGGAGGGATTTTGTCGGCAGGAGAGGAGCTGAAATGAAGGTGATGGCTATAGATGTTTCCCTTAGGTGCTGGGTCGGGTTAAGAAATAGAAGGAGAAAGAAATGAGAGGTTTTAATAAGCGGGTCTGAATTGGTCAGGTTTGTAATTCACAAACCTGTTTTTGATAAACCAAATAAAGTGCCCAAAGCGCTTTTCGACGCTTCTTAGTGCCTAATCGCGCATTTTGCCACCTTTTCGAGTGAAAAGCACTGCGGATACTCCCCCCTGCCTCGCTTAAGGATAAATTGGAGTGGCTCATGACTGTTTCCGCTTAGGCGTCCGCCTTTTGGCTGCTTCAGAGCTCTTTTTTTTTAAATATAATTTGTTATTGGTTGCCACATATAAAGAATATGACGTTAAAAAATATGCATACTGAAATTAGGCATGGAGAAGAAATGCATGGATCTTGATGCATTTAAAAGGCTACAACAACTCATACTTGCATAGAACTTGTCTCTCATGTCGGCAACCCAGACATGGACCATAGGCTAGATATTTTGGGTTGGTCTGTTTATTATGGTCAAGTTTTTTTTAATAAAAAAAAGAGTGAAGGGTCAAAGGGAAGAATCTTCTCTGTCAATGTCTTCTCATCATCTCCATGTACTATCATTGGCTTGGTCATATGTTAGGACAACTCCATTGTTATTTTAATTGTTATGACACTATTTTATACTTGTTAAAGTATATTATAACCTTCAGGTTTTACCAAAAACATCAGAGTTTGGCTGTAGATGGAAGAGACATTAAGATGATATAAGAGCAATCCTAATCAAATTCTGCCAGGTAAACATTGAAAATGGATTTTAAGAACTTACTGATAGTTTCAACCGATAAAAAGGGTACCCTCAACTTTAGGTTGAAAAGGTTAACCAGAAACTCTCACTAAAATCTAGGGTTTTGACGTAGTGAAAGAGACTTTAAGAGTCTACATCAAGAATGCATTTTGAATGGCCTTAATTTGTACTTGACCAAACTTTGTTAGTTGGTCATCTCATTTAGCCTATTCCTGATATGTTTTTTTTATTTACTTCTTCATCTGGGAATCTGAGAATGCAAGTTAGCGTGCAAGTGATAGAACAAATGCATTAGTATATTAACCAAGAGGGTCTTTTTGTAGTTGAAACCACAGATTTAGTTGAAAACATTTTTCAATCGAATCAACATTTTGTGTTATCCATGCATAGTCTTGTTAGTTCTCATTTGAAGCCTGTTTCTAACATGTTTTTATTTTTTTCCTACTTCCCTCATCTTTGAATGCAGGTTAATGTACAAGTGATATAGCAGATGTATTAATTTATTAATTAAGTTCCTTTTGTAGTTGAAACCGTAGATTTTGTGGATAACAATTTTTAGTTGAAACCTACATATCTTATCCTATGCATATACTGTGCATATATTGTTAGGTTGATCCATTTTCAAGGTCAATATGGGGCTGCCTGGTTCGTGGATTGTAGTTTGATACATGCTATGGATCTAGAAAAATCCATACGCAAAATTTTATTTGTTGGCAATGGATATTAAAGTATTAAAGTATATTTAAATGAGGTGCAAAATCCAACCAAATGTTGTTCGGTTGCATGTGCAATTCATTAAGGATATGAGGCCAATCACAAATTTGAGTGAAATCAGTATATATTTTAGGGTATTATGTTTGATGCATCTATCCTATGTGGCAACCCAAATTCATGGGATGAAGGTTTAAAAAACAAACGATGTATTTAATAACAATCTATTATTTTAAGCTTGTGGTCTCATTTTTCAATGCAAAAGCACCAATATGCATGAAAACAAACACAAACGGCCCCTTAATGTTTTTGTCTAATAAAATTGAAAAATTGACTGCCACAATTGATGTAGGACGGATTCACATGTGAATCTTATTGAAGGTTAGGTGAATATTTGATAAATATTTTATTAGGATTTTATAAGATCTTTCTTTTTTGGTAGGTTTTGATTTTATGTTATGTAATCTTTTATTCGAGGTAGGATTTTGATGCGAAACGAAACAGGGGGTCTATCAGAATCAGCGATTTAATTCGAACAACGCAACGTTTCGCCAAAATTCATAATATTCGGTAGGAAATTAATTAAAGTAGTTAACGTGACAGATGGATTTTAACAAGATTTGCAACGATAATTATGAACAATTCCAATCTTAAACAACCTAATCGCAATACTCATTATCATTGCATAAGTTCGACAATCAATATTAATTTTTAGCAGTCACATGTTCAGATACTCTCAACTCACAATTATAATCTGAGCAGTGAAATATATGATAAGAATTTAGAGATGAACTAATCATGCAATTAACTAATAAAGTGAAATTAGCAGAAAAAATACTGAGTACAAAGAAAATGATACCGTCGTCCGACTGAACTGGAATTGAATCACCTATGTAGCATTAACGTATATCTAGACCTTCATAGTCTTAGAATGTAGGATTCATCAAGTGTACAGGTGGAGGAACAGGTCATAACTGGTCTTTTGATGCTTCATATAAGATTAAATTCTTTATGCATATGGTTGACACGTGCATATGATTTCTGAGATTTGCCTTCCTGCTCTAATTTTTGGACCCCAGTGCTTTTCAAGATTTGGAACGAACCCAGGCCTCTTTATGCCTGGATGACTGGTGGAGGAAAATTTGCCTGAAACGTTGGTTCTTTGGAGAGGATCTCGGTGGAGTCTTCAGTGTGGCTGAGGATGGTGGCGAGGCTAGACGGTGACGCGGTTGAAGCGAGGACCGATCTATTTCTGTGGCGGGGCTGCTCGTCAAAGAGAATAGCAGGGAAGGGGGAGTTGGGGTGACAATGGTCTGAGGGTGGCGGTGAAAGGAGCGGGGTTGGCGCTGGTTGTCGGGGAAAGAAGAGAGCTGGAGGTGTTGGTTGCTATTAGGAGCGTGGGACAGGGAAGGGAGCCGTGGCTGTTCTGGTAAGAGTGGTGAAGGGAGATCGGAACAGGAAAGGGAGCAGGGGTGGTCGCAGTGGCTGGAGGAAGAGAAAGGGGACTGGGGCTTGAGGCGGTTGTCGAGTGGTGGAGGACAGGGAGGAGGACGCAGTTGGTGACGAGGGCATCAGAGTTGGAGGCGGCAGAGGCGGAGATAGGGGAGGGCGGCAGGGAGAAAACTCGACTCCGTCGAGTTAGCTGCAGAAGCTTGTGATCTTCAATATAATCTACTTGCATCTTAATCTGTCATCATATACTTTCCTGCATCTCAAATCATTAGTTAAATTGCATTGTAAATTCACCATCTAAAATATTATCAAAATTCACTGTTGCATGGGTGAATATATAGAAGT